ATAGACTTGGCTGACAGTTTATCCTGACCAGGAGAGAAAATGTGAACAAAACAGGTGCTCCCAAAGACACGTGGGGGAAGAGAAAATAATGGATGANATACTTCGACAAATCTCAACTCTTGAATTAGTTGTTTTAACCAAACAAGCTCACAAGTGGCTAAGGCCATTGCACGATACTCTGCTTCAGCACTTGAACTTGCAACAACCGCTTGTTTCTTACTTTTTCATGAAACTAGGTTTCCTCCAACAAGAACACAAAAACCTGAGGTAGAACGTCTATCAAATGGAGAACCTGCCCAATCAGCATCTGAATATCCGACAATATGTGAATGGCCCTTATCTTCATACATTAAGTCTTTACCTGGTGCTCCCTTGATATACCTTAAAATCCGAACAACTACATCCCAATGACTATCACATGGAGTTTGAAGGAACTGACTTAAAACACTGACAGAAAAAGGAAATATCAAGTCGTGTGATAGTAAGATAGTTAAGTTTTCCAACAAGTCTTCGATACCTTCCAGCATCAGCAAAAGGCTCGCCCTATCCAGGTAAAAGTTTTAAATTAGGATCCATAGGAGAGTCTATTGGTCTACAATCTGACATCTCTGTTTCCTCTAGAATATCCAGTACATACTTCTTCTGAGAAATAGCAATACCAGATTTGGACTGAGCGACTTCTATGCCAAGAAAGTATTTGAGTAGCCCAAAGTCTTTCGTCTAAAAGTGTTTGAACAAGTGTTGCTTCAACTGTCCAATGTCATCTTAATCACTTCCTATAATAACGATATCATCGACATAGACAACCAAATAAATACATTGCCCTGATGATGTATGTCTATAGAAAACAGAGTGATCAGACTCACATCGAATCATACCAAACTCTTGGATAACTGTACTAAATCGTCCAAACCAAGCACGAGGAGACTGTTTTAGGCCATATAGAGAACGACGAAGTTTACATACCAAACCAGACTCCCCCTGAGCAACAAAACTAGGAGGTTGCTCCATATAAATATCTTCTTGAAGTTCACCATGAAGAAAAACATTCTTAATATCCAATTGATACATAGGCCAGTGTCGAATGGCAGCCATGTAAAGAACAACCGAACAGAAGACATCTTAGCAACAGGAGAAAAAGTATCAAAATAATATGTCCCATAGATCTGAGTGTAGCCCTTGGCCACCAAACGGGCTTTCAACCGATCAACCTTACCATCTGGACTAACCTTTACAGTGTAAATCCATCGACCAACAATCGAATGGCCCGAAGGTAAAGAAACTAACTCCCAAGTATAATTATGATGCAAAGCAAACATTTCTTCAACCATTGCCTGATGCCACCCGGGATAAGAAAGTGTCTCATGAACAATGCAAGGAACAGAAACATAAGAAAGGGTGGATACAAAGGCATAATATGAAGGATATAAACGATGATAACTCAAAAAATTATAGATGGGATGAAGGTTGCGTGTAGACCGCATACCTTTACGAATAGCAATGGGAAACTGGTCAGCTTGAGACAAGACCGTGGCATTGAAGGAATCGAGCACAAGACCTGCAGTGACAGGGGTCTTAGGAACAGCAGCAGGAACATCAGAATCACCTGTAAAAGGAACAAGACTATTGTTGATAGGAAGAGTGGTATTAGTAGTAGACTGGGGTACTAAAACAGACGAAGGTGGAAAAGCAATGTATGGAATTGGTAAGACATCTACTATCGAATCAGACTCTAATGTTAGATGAGGAAAAAATGGAGAAGACTCAAAGAACGTAACAGCAACAGAGATGAAGTAGCGATGTGTGGCGGGAGAATAACATTTGTAACCCTTCTGAAGACGTGAATACCCTAAGAAAATACACTTTATAGACTTGGCTGACAGTTTATCCTGACCAGGAGAGAAAATGTGAACAAAACAGATACTCCCAAAGACACGTGGGGGAAGAGAAAATAATGGATGATCAGGGAATAATATGGAGTGTGGGACCTGGTCTTGTAAGATAGAAGAAGGCATGCGATTGATTAAGTAATAAGCGGTTAGAACAACGTCAGCCCAAAAATGGAAAGGGATGTGGCTATGTAAAAGAAGAGTGCAAGCAGTTTCAATGAGGTATCTATTTTTACGCTCAGCAATGTCATTCTGTTGGGGACTATAAGCACAAGAAGACTGATGAAGAATTCCTTGAGATGACATGAATTTAGTAAATGAATTAAAGACATATTCACGAGCATTATCACTTCGTAATATACGAATGGTAGTATTATGTTGAGTCTTAATTTCAGTACAAAATGATGAAAATATGAAAAATAATTCAGAACAAGATCGCATAAGAAATAACCAAGTGCAACGGGAATAGTCATCAATAAAGGTAACAAAATATTTAAATCCCAAATTAGAGGTAACACGTCAAGGACCCCACACATCTGAATGCACTAACTCAAAAAGGGACGCAGCCTGTTTATTGACACGCTTTGGAAAAGAACTACGAGTATGCTTTCCAAGTTGACACGACTCACAACTCAAGGACGATAAGTTAGATAGACCTGGGATCATTTTCTGAAGTTTGGAAAGACTAGGATGGCCCAAACGATTATGAAGGAGATCTGGAGACTCGAAGATAGTGCATGCTGTAGATGGGATATGAAGATGATAGATACCCTGTGACTCACGTTCTGTGCCAATCATCCGTCCCGTGTTGCGGTCCTATATAACAACAGAGTTAGTATCAAAACGAATAGAGCAATTTAAATAGCGTGCAAGTTTACTGACAAACACGAGATTAAAGAGACAGTGGGGAATATAAAGCACAGAGTTTAATTTTAAGGAAGGGAAGGGTTTTGCACAACCAATAGCTTGAACATCGGCTTTAGACCCATTAGCTAAAGTAACAAGGGGGTAAAGATGCAATATTTGTAATCTGAGTAAGTAAACGAGGGTTACCAGTAATATGATCCGAGACACCTGAATCCAGGACCCAAGGTCCTAGAGCAGAAGACTGAGTAAGGCAAGCAACTGAATTATCTGTTTTGAGCGACGGAGGCAATGGACGAAGAAGACTGCTTATTGGCCTGATACTGTAAGTATTCATCATAATCAGTGCCTGTGAGAGTTAAGGAGGGCTAAACCTGCACTGTAAAGGACTCAGAATGAAGATCAAAGTGATCAGCCTGAGCAATATTAGTAGCCTGGGTAGGTCGACCATGTAACTTAAAACATTTCTCTCTGGTATGCCCCCATCGATGACAGTAACTACACTTGGGTCGATTTCCTCTACCACCTTGATCGCCCTGTTCTCTTTTAGTAAAAGTGTGGGATTGAGAAACAAGAACCCAAGAGTCACTAGGAGAATACACTGTAGTAAGGGAGGAAACACGAAGTAATTTGGCAAACACTTCATCAAGGGAAGGCACAGTAGATCCAGAAATGATTTGATCTCAAACAGGTGTAAGATCTGGATCTAGAGCTACAAGTGTCAGGACCATAAAGAACTTGTCCCGTTGAGCCAAATCTTCTGCCACAGATTTATCAACTAGTAACAGTAGATTGAATTATGTCTTAAGGGAGGCCATCTTACCAAGGAAGTCTGACATATTCATATCATGTTGTTTGAGATAAACTAAGTTGGACACAACAGAATATAAACGTTAAATGTCATTTGTATAGAGAAGTTTAACCTGACTCCAAATATCAACACAAGAGTGGTAAGATTTGTAAATAGGGTGAAGGGGGGGATTAATAGTTTGTCATAGCATACTACACAACAGAGCATCAATTTTAGTCTACGAAGACTTATCTGATGTAATATTGGCAGCCTTGGTGGTCAAGTGATCCTTCAGACCTTGACCCATACACCATAATTCGACAGAGGCAGCCTAGGATGAATGATTAACAGTCCCAATTAATTTCTCAGTGGTGATGGGAGGGAGAGAAAAAAAAAAAGAAAAACCACTTGGATGTGACTGAGAAGCTGATTTCGGGGGATCCATGAAGAAGATCAGAGTGTCTTGAAGCTGACAGAAAAGCAAAAGCTCACGCTTGTCAAAAAAACAGATCGAAGCAGAAATTGACGAAAATTCCTTGAAGGGTTTTGCCAGCAAGGTGGAGAGGAACAAGATGTTGGTGGCGGTATACCAGTTTAAAAAAACCGAGAAAGACAAAAAAAAAAAAAAAAAAATTTGGAACTTCAGAGACCTAGCTTTGATACCATGTGAAGAAATACTTTGTGTTTATTACATATTTCACAATGAAATGTACAATGAATTTATAGCAAAAAACAAAAACTAATCTAGAAAATAAATTGTTACATTTCTATTATAACTGATCTAATTCTTAACAGCTTTGATCCTAACCTAATATAGAAGATAGACTTTAATGAGAATAATCCTATTTCCTATTTTACAATGAGAATAATCATATTTCCTATTTTACACTTCAACAAGATATATCAATATTCAAGCTGCCAATGTACTTGACATGCTTAACAAATTAATAATTATAAATGCATCATTATCAAGAGAGTTGATCGGTATTGGTAAAAAGAGACATCAAAATCCATTATTGATATATTTCAATCTCCATTAAAAAACAATTTAACAAGTTACTTGATTGGAGTTCCCGGTGTATACATAGGATTCTTGACAACATATTCAACATATAAGTTGTAAATGTACTTTAGGGATTCACGTAGATCACCAGTCCTATGATGAGCGATCAATATAAGCTGCATTGAAGAGAATGTGCGATGATGATAACACAATTTAAAGAGCACAAAGATTAAAGAAATATGTGGACAAAATTCCATGATATGAATCATAAGCAGCAGAACTACTATTAAAATGTCAAATCCTGATGCCATTACGACAAACTGATGGATTTATTGGCTATGTAATTACTAGTGATAAAATTTCATGACCCGTCCCATGCACTGCAGTTTTCTTGAATATGTAATTACTAGTGATGAATTATTAGCTATTGTGTTTACAACAACATAAATCAGGCTTTCTGGAATGCTGATGAACCTTCATTAAAACCATATAGGTACTACAATTGTAGCAGTATCAATCATAACAACACCTTTTAATAAAAGTTAGTGTAAGACCGACACATTCTTTCCCATTATTGCATAAAATTTACACAGATATTGGGTTTGGCAGATTGTTCCACAATAATAAATAGAGCTTGTTTCATAGAATATTGCATGCTAAATCTGTTGATCCTGCAGCTTAATTTTACTTGTATTTAGTAGCAGAAGCTTACTGATCAAGCTTGACTTTTGAACTGTGGGGCATGTTATTGATAGAGTAAGGGAGTGATGTGCTTCCTCAATTGTCAATTTTTTGTTAATGCAGCTGCAGTCTGTTGCAAATATTGAAAAAAGATGTACAGGGTTGAATTAAATTAATTAAACATAAATTATATATAACTTACAACTGTATCAAGGAAAAACGTTTACCCCAGTTGCATTGATTTTGGTAGTGTCTCATTTTTTTGAGGCTGGGGCTAGCTTAACTGGAGACGGAGAGGTGGGTGTAATTTGTTTCCTTTTTTTTTTGTGTATGGAGGCTGGAAAATCCTGTTTGCAGCATGTACTAACCAATAATTCATCACTGGTAATTAGCTTCAGAGTTATAAGATAAAACCAATATAGCAGCCATCTATCATTCTAAATATATGAACATTTTATCAATCTAAACTGAAAAGTAAGGATTAAAACTTATGTGGTCATAGATATTATCAAAAAGAAAATAGTTTACTAGCAATGCTATTAAGGAGACTGCCAAATGATCAGATTTCCCTGATAGATCCAAACACTTCTAACACTAGGTTTTAAAAGGTGATGCATTACTGAAATTATCGTTTGATGACTTAATATAAAAGAAGTCACTCAAGGCACAAGCACAGAAAAGAAGTCTACTATACCTTCATCTTATACCCATTCTCAAGAACTTTCAGTTGTTCAAGATCTTCTTCTAGTTGAAGTGGGGTAGGTCGAAGCCGTGGATATATCTTCAGAAACTTTGAATCATAGCTGTGGCCCAACAATAAAACACTATCAATTCACCGAAAGATAACATAATAATGACAATAATGTTACCATAAACAAGAGGAAAGTTCCTTGTTTTTGTTTCAAGAAAAGGAAAATGGTGGAACCATTTGGACACCTGAATTCGAAGATGAACATATATGGAAACTGTAGATTAACCTTTCCTGACCTGTATCAAGTAGTAGGCAAGTTCATCAACCAGCCCAAGAAGTTATCAAAAAAAAATAATAATAACAATAAAATAAATAAATAATAGTAACATAGTACACATTAAGATATATATTCTCACTAGTTATATGGAATCAGTTCCCTTGAAAAATAAATAGCATAACCACGATTATCCACCACACATTTCACTTGATTTGGATCAAATGCATCTTTAGGTTTTAAAGATGTGACAGCAGTGCTATAAACTACATCTGGAGCTGCCTGCAGCTGAAAAAGTAAAATTCAACATGAACTCAAGGCATAAAGTATTATGTGAATATGATAACACAACCAAGAGATTGAACTACAATTTGTAACACATATAGTCAAGCTCACTCAACCCATATCAGGATGTCAAAGTAAGGTCAAAGGACACCTCATATTGCTCAAAGAAACTTTCTCTGAATTATTTGGATTATGATAGGCCATATTAACTTTTTTTTTCTTAATTAAAAGCATATGAATGCTAAAAGAACTATACCTGCAGAGCTTTAACAATGCCATCTATTATCTCTAGTTCAATAAGAAGCTCATCCCCTTAAATATTGACAACAATATCATACTTCTTATCAAGTTTTTCTAGTGCTTCATTGCATCATTCAGTACCTACAAGTTAAACAAGACTATTAGCAAATCCAATCTTGACATAAAATTTGCCATAAAATTATTACCATTTCAGCAAGATTCTGAAGTCATTATCACATCAGCACCAAATCCTCGGCAACATTCTGCAATCTTCCTGTCATCCGTTGCCACAATTAGATCATAAGGGCACAAAATGAGACATTATAAACACAAAATGCAGGCATAGGAACAAGCGCAGACATAAAATAAAATCTAAAACACCAGAAGCTCGTAATGATTTGCTAGAACTCATATTAAAAGTTGCAACATCAAAATACGCTCTTATCTTTTATAATATCGGCTATGTTCACTACCATATCCAAACGAAACTTTGAACAACATTGTTAACCTAAGCATATCTCACCTTCAAAATAATCGTACAAAGAAAAGAGGGGAAATTTACTGCCAAAGGCACCATTCAACATGCATCTAGATGTGATCCAAACAAAATGTCAAACTAACAGAAGCGAGCAATTGAATTTAGATCCAGAATCAAATTCAAAAACACCTTCTTCACGAGTATTCACTCTGAATAGCTTAAAGCAAAACCAACATATCTCAAAGACAAAGTTAATATTACATGAACCACAAATGTTAACATAGTGCATTATTGAATTGACACAAAAATCATGTAAGGAAATATATACAATGCCCAAGTGATCCAATGTGGTTGCCAATTTTGATCTTTCCCATGTTCTCTGCAGAACACCATTCAAAACAGTGAGTCAAACAGTTTCAGTTCACTAGATCCTAAGATACTGTTAAAAACTATAAATTTCACATAAATAACCAAAATCACCTCAAGCTTTTTCATTAAAAAACTAATGAATCAAAAAAAGAAAACTGAAAACTTTATCATTGAATTGTCTCTTACTATTGGAATTATAAATCCCCTAAAATCCAAGAATGCAATTCAATTCAATTTACATGCACTTGTTCATATTAAATTAAAAGGGACTGAAATAAATAAAATTAAAAAAAAAATTGAAGAGGAATCTAATAGAGAAAGCCAAAAGGGAACCTGGATCATGGGCTTGCCGAGGGTATTAACGAGGGGTTTGCCTTGGAACCGAGAGGAAGCAAAACAAGCGGCTATGATGCCCACACCCGACTCCGCAACTTCTTGGATTGACCCAGATAAGCGCGTGCTCCGATGGCTACAGCAATGGCTGCTCCGGCCACAATGCCGTTCACCATCCATGATTTAGTTTAGGAACATGAAGATTTGGATGATGAACAAATAGACATTGGGCTCAGATTTAGCTCTCACACTCTCGTTGGGCCACTTTCGCAGCAGTATTGTGTTTGTTTTTACTTTTTCTTGTTACCTCTATATCTATTTTGTGAAGAGGGTTTTGCACTTTGGTTTCAGGAATTGGGTTGGTAAGTGTAGAATTGAAATGGCCGCCATTAGATAGCCAAGAAGAAGAAGAAGAACAGAGTTGTTGGTGTAAAATCTATGGGTTTAGGGTTAAGAAAACCTTTTCTAGGGAAACAAACAAGGGTTAAGAAATGAAAAGACAAACTAGCCTACGATGTGAATGAGTTATGACTTATGAGGGTATTAGCTTGGAAATTTTAGGAAATTTTGGGTTGACGGCATATTACGTTGTTTTCCCGGTTAATATTTGGGTATACGTAAAACGTTTTGGTCCCTACATGAATGAAAAATAACAAAATAAACCCAAAATAATATATTTGACCCCTAAACAATAAAAATGAGAAAAAATCAATCTCATTTCATGTTGGCGGGAATGATATTTTGTTTTTCGGTAAATAATTGAGTTTATGGTAATACTTATAAAATGTTACTATATTTTAATTATATTGTAATATTATAAAAAAAAGTTTTATTGTAACACTTTAAAAATACTATTGTAGTTCTTATATTAATAACATTTTACAAAAAAAAGTTACCATTGATATAAAATGTGTTACAAAAAGTTAAAGTGTCACATATAAAAATTGTTATAGTAAAATTTTAACATCAAGTGTTACCATAGATAGTCTATTGTAAAAGTGTTACTGTCCAGTGTTACCGTATGACATTTTTGTTATAGTGTTACTGTAAGGCATTTTTGTTGTAGTGTGTACATGCATTCTTCTAAAAAAATAGTGGTTATTTATACATGTTTGCCTACCTTTCCGATATTAATTTCTGTGGCATTTGTTCAAGTTCAATAATTATTAGTTTGATGCGTCTTGATCATGTGTTCATGATTTTTATGTGATTAAGAGATTGTTTATGTTATCAAGGCCTAACTTTCACTATGGTTTCTGGTCTCGTTTTTTCTTCATCAATATTCTTTCAATAGGTGATTATAGATTTGTTGATGCGTGATTTTGATACCAACGAAATGTACATGTGAAACACTGAGCTGGCTCAGAAGACACACGTGAATATAAAGAAAAGAGGATAAATACAATGAGAAAAGCATTTTTAAAGTGGTTTGGATGCTAAGGAAGCAAGTCCTACGTCCACTGTTATATTATTAATGATAGAGGTCAGGTCGTATGAGCTGACTGGCCTTCAAGTGATAGTACAAGAAAGAGAATGCTTTTGTATTACAGAGAGAATAGCTAATCAAGAGTAAAAATGAGCGAATCTCCTGAATGAGAGAGGAACTCTCAATTTATAGTGGAATGCATTGAGCCAATGATTACTGGATCTGTGAGTTGGTGGGATTAATCGTGCAAATCCTTCTTTATGTCACATTGTCCACCTTCTAGAGTGATTTGCGCGATTTGGTGCAGGGATTGGACACGTGGGATCACCACAGCTTCTAGCTGGTCTGACGCGCACACACTATTCTGACAGAAGCACGCTGCGAGCGTTCCCATGTTCTGACTTTTGCACGTTGACTGGACCTTACGTCAGCCCTTTATTTTTCAAGCATAACAGAAGTCCCCTAGTTTTTAAGGTTTGAGGACCGAACCTTGGAAACTATAAGTCATGCCGCGATTGGAGGATTTCTAGAAATTTTGGTGATTCCGACCTGCTTGAAAATAGATCGGGGTAGCACTCTTTGCGAACACAACCACGCATGGCCATTGCTTGTTGAGGATGAACGACCTGACTTCGTCAAACGTTATTTGTTGTACTTTTGGTACAGGTGCATTTAATGAATCAGTCTCTACGCTGACAGACGTGTCCTGTGCGTGATAAGTGCCAACCAGGCGCATTAAATGCGTTGTATGCTTACACGGTACCACTTTATTAGGACATTAAATGTGTGACATGCTGAAACGACAACCCTTATCAGAGCATTAAATACAGATTGGGGCGCAGTTAATGCTGAGACGGAGAGAGTGCCGTCGCTTGAGTTTTTCAATGGAAAAGATTAAGATTTAATTTTCTTCAATCGTGACGTTCACTCTTTCTCACTGATTAGCGACACGTGGTCATGATCAACGGTGAGAAATTGTGCCACCCAAATGTTGTTTTGATTCCGAGAAAATCAAACATCGTTTCGCGTGCTATAAAAACTCAAATCTCAGGCAATGTCACCACACTCGTCTTTTTCACAGAGAGCAAGAGATCTTTGCAAGCTTGGAGTCTTTGCCTTCTAACCCAGCGTTTTTTTCCGATATTCGAAGCAAAAGCCATTTTCGTACTCTGAGAGGTAAGAATCTTTCCCTGTTTTTGTTATTCTCCATGGTTGGTAAATGGCGTTAGTCTTCCAGTAGCTAATCGGAGACGAGACGCTCATGTCGGGTTCGAGCCATGAGTGGCGGCTCGAATCATTCTGTTAGGGTTTTCTCTAGGTTTTAGGGAGTTTGTTTCCCTCCACGTCATCGTACGGAGTATCGTACGATGGCTAAATGACCATCCTACTTGTCGCTTTTGCAGACTAGCAGAATGGACCCCTTAACGACCAGATCCGAGGAAGGAACTAGTTCGTCCTCGCAGGGTGCTCCGAGTATCACCCTTGAGGTCTACTTGGTACTTACCGGAGAAGAGCTCGAGATGGTGATAAAACAATACGGTATCGATGTCAACATTTTCCTCGACGTGGCCCACTCATCGCGATACCCATCCAGTGGGATGGCTGCGATCTCCGAGTAGATCATCAAGGGTGGGGGATTGATCCATTTCCAACCTTTTGTTAGGTCGGTCTTGGATCACTTCGGGATAGCGCTGATGCAGCTCACTCCAAACACGTATGTTATTGCTGTTGCCATGTACATCGCGTGTCGTGAGAATGGGCTAGGCGAGCTAACCACGATGGAGCTTGGCTGCTCGTATTACTTGAAGAAGAGCAAGGACAAGGATTCCTATTACTTGTCCAGGCGACCTTTTATTGTCGAGGGGATACACAGCTACCCTAGCAATGCGGGGGCCTACGAAATGAAGTTTTTCTTCTTTCATTACGACGGCCATTGCCGCTTTCAGGACCCGAGTAGGCTCTTTTCCCTTGGCGAATTGATTAAATTTGAAATGTGTTTTCTTTCTAACGACCTATTTCTTTTTTGGCAGTTAATAAGACGACCGATCTAGGGTTGTTCTTAGATCCGGATAGGATCATATCTTTCGGCTTCCTGCCTGACGCTAGTCGCAAGGCGAAGAAGCTCGTGACGACCGCAAATTTACGAAAATACGATTTCTTCAACGCGAACGATACTTTAGAACCCCCACCAAGTAAGTCTTGCTAACTGGCTCTTCTCTGGTCGTAAACTGAAACAGTTTTGCTAACGATGCTTGTGTGCAGCGACCATGCCTCCGAAGGAGTCAGAGCAGCCGCGACGAAGGCAAATCAATTTTCCTCGGTCAAGGAAAGCCAAGGCGACCAATGCGGCTCCTGCCGATCCCCTGGCTGAAGGTGCCACATCAGGCCCCCCGGTGCGACCTGCTGGAACTCAACAACAACCTTCGGAGGACGCACTGATCTGATCTGATCCGTGAAGGCCCCTCAGCCATCGACTGTTCGCCCGAGGCTAAAGACAATGGCTCAACGACCAAAGAAAAAGAAAAGGCAAATTCAGGTCAAAGAGTCAGAGACTGAATCCAAGGACGATCAACCCGGGGGGTCGTTGCCAGACATCAGGAAGAGGTCGAGTAAGGAACCGACGGGCGACACGACCTCGGCTAAAGGCGCGAAGAAGGGAACTCCAGTGTTGGACTCACTGGGGAACCTGCTGGAGTACCTATAGATGATAGTCTACACTCTGTTGGAGTGCAGACTCTCGGAAGCATTTGAGCAGTCCGTAGGTTCCAGCGACGTGGACCTAATGTCCACATCTATCCAGCATTTAAGCAAGGTAAACGAACTGCCCTTGGGGAGGACTTCCCTTAGTTTCTTTTGATAAACTTGTTATTTTTCCTTGTTCGCAGGCCCTGCTTTCTATGCAACTGTCCCTGGAGAAGGTTCGGTTGGGAGCTGCAAAGGGAGAGGTTGCACTGAAAGAAGAGAACGCACAACTTAAGTGAAGCCTGGAAGCCGCCGAAGAAGAAAGAAACCTACCTTCCGAGTCGGCGAACTGATACCTAAACGAAAGAGATGCGGCTCTTCGCACGGTGGACTTCCAAAAAGTCGAGCTCGAGAAGCATGAGGAGGAAATAAAAAAGCTTTAGAGGACATAGCCAGACTCTCCAAGGAGGTCGGAGAGAAGGACCAAGAGCTCAAAGCGACCTCCATGCTGGCATGGCGAGTAGAACAAGAGAGGGATGCCTTTGAGAAGCAAAGGCAAACTCTTGAGGCCGAACTCCAAGCAAGTCAGGGGAAGGTTGCTTCCCTGACCGAAGAGATGTAGAGGCAGGCAGCGCAGGTTAAGAAGAAGGCTGCCGAATAGGCGATCGAGTCTATCTATACCTTGCGACTAAAGAATCCGATCCTTGATATGTCCGATCTCTCGGGGGACTGGCGGGACACTCTATTGTCCATGGCGCGGGAGGATGATGCAGCGGCGGCCACTCGAAAACCTGATCAGATAGAGGGTTCGAGACATGCCTCAGAGAAGCCCTCAGCCGACCAGCTTTAAGACGATGAGGTCAATCCTCTAGGAGCCAGATTAGGGCTAATAGTCTTATCATTTTGCATGTTGTACTCTTCACATTAATGAAACACATTTTGCTTTTATAATTTCTGTTTGCTTTATTATACATGAGTTTACATTGTCAAATATTGGAACAAGTCTATGCAAACATGATAACACATTTATACGAACAAGATTACATGCGAAGACTGTTACAAGCGAACAGAATAATACTTTGTAGAGATAATTTACAAAGATCAAAGTTTAATTTACAAAAAGAACTGAGTTCGGAATTACTGATAGTATGGTTGAAGGTGCTCAACATTCCAAGCTCGGGGTACTTTGGAACCATTCAGCATTTCGAGATGATAAGTCCCTGGTTTTATCACTTTGTCGATGCGGTATGGACCTTCCCAGTTTGGTCCTAACACTCCGGCACTTGGTTCCCTAATGCCGACAAGAACTTCTTTTAATACAAGGTCACCGACTTGGAAGTCTCTTCGCTTGAATTTAGAATTGAAGAACCTCTTCGTGCGTTGCTGGTAGACTACTACCCTTAGCGAAGCCTTGCTGCGATGTTCT